CATCCACACCGGCCTAATCGATGCCCTGGAGAAAGGATGCGACACAGTGGGGCTCGGTCCATCCAGGGTGACCGACACCGGGATGGAGCGGGCTGGAGACCCCCCCAGCACATCCCTTCTGCAGGGGGCAGCCCGCGCAGCCCTCACCGGGGTGTCCATAGAGGACAGGGCTGATGATGGAAGCTGGGACCCGCTTGGTAAAAACCCATTTAAAAAGTTTATTGGAAGCCCTTTCGTTCTGGTTTTCCTTCTAAACAGAGATTCCAACAGGGAAATCCCTGAAGTAAAGCATGAGGAATGCTGCCATAGCGGTATGCCAAGCCCTGGGGTCGGGGGTGGCCCGTGGCACGGGGGTGTCTGTCTGCACAGCATTGCACCGCGTAGACACAGCCCACGTTCTTCTGCAGGGCTGGTAATTACGGTTAATGCACTTAAAGCCATTTTCCCACAGCAGTTTCTTACCTGGGTAAGCAGTGCAAACGTCCCCGTGAAATACAGATCTTCACCCTCCATTTTTCACTTTTCCCAGGGAACAAAATGGGCTTTTCTTTCTCTTTCTCTCTGTCATTCTCTCTTTCTCTCTTTCTGGGGCACCTCTTTCCTGAGCCGTGCTTAGGAACTGCAGACGTGTACATAACATATCTGTGTCAAAATTATGTAAGGGCTCCGTTAATAGAAAACTTGCACAGCTGTAAGAACACTTACAAGCTCTTCATGTCTCATGCAATTGCCTAGAAGCACGCAAAGTTACGTTAAAAAAGGACGTGGATTAAATTCATGCTAAATAAACAATAAAAAGACATGAAACCCAAGGCCTAAATGCTCTTCCTTTTAAAGGCTCAGCTGGCATAAACCAGCTGAATGTCAGGTTTAAGTGCTCTGGTTCTAATTACAACCATACCTCTGTTCGACTCTGCCCTTCGGGGTATCACTTTTCTCCCCACGGGCTCGAAGGAGAGCTAACTCCCCCGGTGCCGTGGCACTGCCGGAGCATTACCGTGTCCGTGTGGAATGCATCGAGCTGCGGCGCTTTCCAAACCCGGGGCTCTGCTCCTGGCTCCGGTGTTCCTGGAACAGGCTCCTGATTTTCACCTCCAAGACCTTCAGCCACAAAACCACCATGATTGGGAAACGGGTGACACTTAGGGGGGAGAGAAGTCAAAATTGGAGCGATATCAAGAGTTTTCTAATCCAGCAAATCACTTCAGTTGCAGAAATGAGCAGCTGAAGTGACTTTTTTTTGGTCTGGACCAAATCAAATGAGGCAGAAAAATCAAAGGGAGTTTCAGTGAGGTCAATCAGGACTGGTTGCTCTGTGTTTAATGGCTAGGTTGGCAAGGAGTCATAGTGCTTCCGCAGCTACCATGGTCTAAAATAGCCAAAGACAAGGTTTGTAAGGAAAGATAATATTATTTTTGAATCAACTAATAAAGCCGGGAAAAAAAAGACCCCAGGCAAACTTTTAGGCCCTTCTTCAGGCCAGGAAAAGAGCTCATAACCTCACACACAGCTGCTTTGAGCTTAACTTGGTTGTGCTGGGCAATCAGAGAAGCGATGCCTGAGACCCGCGGAGCAGAGGGAAGCGTTGGCCAGGAGAGAGAACCCCGTCAATAGCCCCACGTTGAAGTTGTAGCTGCTTTCCTTGCCATGAACGTGTCATATTTTGCCAGCTGCATCTCCAGGTGGAAACGGCACTCGCGGGTTGCTCTGAGCAGCGTACGAGAGCTGCAGCGAGTCTCGCCGTCTGTGCCGCGGCCCCATGTTGCTCAGCGCCCGAGCCTCCGGGGCGGCTGCCGCCAGCGCGAGCCGTTTCTGCAGATCCTATCTCCCCATCAGGCCTGTAGTTCGTAGGCAGCTTCATGTTTGGGTTTCCATTCAATATTCCTCGGCTTCGGTTTCCAAGACTACAAGCCAACGTACAACCCCTCCTCCCACTCCTCTTTTCAAAGAAAGAAAAACACTCTGAAAAGAAGCTACGCGATTTCTGGGCAGTTTTCAAAGCAGAAAGAAAGGCAGCTCCTCGCCCCACACGCCGCAGGCTCTGCTCCGGCCAGGGCTCCCGCCGCTTCCAGCTGGGCTGAGCCACGATTCTCCAGGTGCTCCATTGTTGTGCGAGCTGGGCAGCGCCTTCCCCGCCTTTGCAAGCGCAGGGTGCAGAGGAGTGATGAAGTTTTTAAGGACAAAACGGGGGTTTTGGAGTAGTTACCTACCTGGGTCTTCCTTCAAATTGTTTTGCAAATGCTGGTTTGGTTTGAAAATTCAATAGCGGGGAAGGGGCTGGG